GAGAGAGAGAGAGAGAGAGAGAGAAAAGCACACCTAAACCATTAAAAGGGAGAGAGAAAAGGGAGTTTGGAATGATGACACTTGGGTGGTTGTTTTATTGGAGAAATGAAGACGACGAACAGATCACTGATCACGAATCACTAACGTATTGGAAGATAGCTATTGTTGGAGACTAGGAAGAGAGTAAAGGGCAGGGGGACAGAGAAAATGGAGGAAAAAGAAATTGAAATTTTTTTTTGTCAAAAGACTCGAAATCCTGAAAATGGAGATGAGAAAATTAAAATATTAATTTATTATAAATCTTGTGGGTCCCACACCTCCACTATGAATTCCGAGAAAATAAAAATTATTTTTGTAAAAAGTAAATATATATATATTTTAAAAAAAAAAAAACTAAAACTTTTACGTATTTAATTAAAAAATATTATAATTTTAAAATAATTATTTAAAATTCAGTAAAAAAAATATAAAAAAAGGAGGAGATAATCAGAATGGGCCACAGGCCCAATTTAATGAGATGATAGTGATTAGATCATGATAACCACGCCGCCTATATATACATACATACATACATACATACATATATATATATATATATTCTGTTTTGTTTTTCAAGTTATTTATTTTAATACTTTATTTATATTATTTGTTAATTTATAAGGATTTTAATATTGACTTATTGAATTGGAAAAAAAAAAAAACAAAAACAATTTGCTTACGAATAAAATTAAATTTATAATTAGATGGGTCTTGAAAAATCATGTAAAACAATTTAAAATATTTTTAATCTCGAGATAATTGATTTAATTTATATGTATTTAAGAATATTCAATAGTTAAGTAAATATAAATTAAGCGAAGCTTCTAAATTTATAAATATTAACGTTATGAAATAAAAATGTTAAACGTAATTAACCACAGTTAAACTAATTTCAAATAACTATTCCTATGAATTGGTATTTAATCAAATATATTAATAAATAAACAATAAATTGAATTATTTCATATCAACATAAAAATTTAAAACAATTAATTATTTCATGAATCTCTACGTTGCTAAAAAAGTTTCGATTTTGAACTTAATAACGTCATAAATAATATAACTTTATTTAGATCATAAGAATTAAAAAATAAAATTAATAAAAAATCGTGAATAATTAAAATACCCATCTCCCTTAAATCTCATGGCTCGTACCAAAAGGATTTTTACCTTATTTTTATATCTATAATCTCTTCGTTATACAAATAAAATGAGAACTTTATTTATATATATATTTTTTATAATTTTATTAAAATCTCTTTTTGTTCTGAAAATATTATTTTTTTAAACGCGTTCTATCAACATCGAACACAACTTATATATCTATTAAGAAATAAATTATTAAATTAGTGCAAAATTTAGAAAATTATTCATGCACTATAAGAGGCCAGAATTGTCATGTGGGATTTTCTTTTTCTTCTTTTTGAAGGAGGGAGAGATGTTGAAAGATGTTTTTTTTTTCCCCCTCCCCCTCCCCCTCCTTTCCTCTGTCAACTTGGGAGACAAGGCATGGTTGAGGTCTTCTGTGGGCTTCAAAAGAAAGTTATTATTATAGTGGGGTTCACATTAAACTATAAAGTTACATTAATGTCGTATATACTTTGGTTATTTATAAGAAAAAAAAAAAAAAAAATTAAGACTATATTAAGAGTAAATGTAAAATTTATTTTCTTTTTGTCGAGGGGATTTGATACCCGTAAAATATTAGTGTCTAAGAATATAAATTTCTTATAAAATAATATATATATATATATAAAGTATAGCAAAGCTGTTACATTATACTGTGAATGCATGCATAGATAGCTTTATGATAATTACTGTAGGATTTAACTCTTTGTTTACAAAGTGGGATTTTCTCAATCTTGTCAATAGAGATGAACTGAGGCAATTTTCAGTTCAAGCTGTGACTAAAAGTGATTGTTGAACCATAATGAGCTTGTAAACAGATTATGTACAAACCCACATGTACACAACAGATGCAAACATACCCATACACACACACACACACACACACACACATATATATATATATATATAATAGTCAATAGATGCACAGGAGGATAATATAGAACTGTGGAAACATGGATGCTCAGATCTGGGTCAACACAAGAATTAGATATTCATGTGAAAATCAGTGCTAGAGATCATATTAAATTAGGACAGTGAAGCCCATAAAAGCATTTGGAAAGAGGTTTGAATTGACTTAATTAGTCCAAGTCAGTCTGTGACACATGTACCCGCAATATTAAAATCTCTCACACCTAGACTATGCTTGTAACCAATTCGAATTTGCTTTGCAAAATTTATACATACAATTTGCAGAAGGCAGCAGTCTGGGTTAACTGAATGCAAATTACAAATGAAATGAAGAAATTATTTAAAATTACGTTCAAATAATAAAAGAAAATAGTTTTATATTCGAAAAGAATGTACTATAATATCTTATAGAGAAATATTAAATTAAACCTAAACTTTATATTTCAAATACGATTAGAAAAGAGTTTGGTGCGGAGAAAGTAACAAGTTTTAATATGCCTAAGATGGTTTCTATTTGTTTTTAAATCCCACCAACTACATTATTTACAATTTGACGGTGATTCAGTTGGAGTATTTCGAGACTTGTTCAAGTGTCCCATCTACTTATTATTTTTGATCGGCGTCCTTCAACAACAGAAGAAAACAAGAGGAGGTTGACAAGGGGAAATTGAAAGGGGAGAGGGTCCATTTATTGCAAGGCCATCATCTTCCTACCTAATAAAAATTTTTAATGTGGGCAATTTTACATTTAGCAAGCAAACCAAACAGGGTATACAACTTCACAAATGGAGAACAAATAATTGACTTCCTTTTCTTGTAGATGCCATACATAATAATATAATATAATATAATATAATAGAAGGGCTCATAAAAGTTGACCTAAAGTCTCAGTAACCTGAATTGTCCCCACAGATATCCTACTGCTGCCTTCACTCATCAAGCTCATTCTGATTGATTCCTTCATTACAGTATCCCTTTTTTGGCTTTCAAGTAATGTCTACGTACACTCATATATATATATATATATATAAATATAAATAAAAGAAGAGCTTGACTTGGTCCAAAGATTTTTTTTTTTTTTTCCAATTCTATGGAATGAAAGTCTAGTTTGGAAGTTCAAGCAATTAAATCAATCAAGTATTATGGAGAATGAATTAGACTTGACTTTTGCTTCAAAAATCTATGGTGTGTTCATAAATATCTTAAATATGTTGAGAAAATAATCATTTTAAGTCCATATAGAAAAGGTTCAAAGGACTCATTCTGTTGTCTTGCTTAAAGTTTATTATTTGGCAGAGGATATGCAAATAAGCAAGTCCCAAACAACAAGACCCTCTTGATTTTGTACTCTGTGCCTTCTCATGTCACAAGGAGTTCTAGACTATGTATCTAATCATTTCTTCATTGCATAAAACTAACAAAGGCTATTCCATCTCTAAATTTATTTTTAAACCTTTTTTTTTTTCTGGGTTTGACTTCTGAAAGTTCTATTAATAATTTTACGAGGATATTATGATACCGTACTTTTTTCTCACCAACCGATTCAATAGTAAACCTTAACCATATACAGTTTTCATTTCAACAGGATCTCAATTCCCAACAGAAACAGAAAAGAAATAGAATGTAGTTGATATCATAAAATTTCATTTCGTAACTATAAAATCAACTCCCTCCTCCACGTTCCAACAATCAGCCACCCTCATGGTGGAAAAGGCACATGAGATGACAGATATTTGTGCAATATGAAGAATGGAAAACAAATCTCCATCTAAAGAACTGTGTCTATGACTAAATGGGGTCTCACTACTATCTACTAGATTCTTTTCATCTTTCTTTAGGGGGTTTGGGGAGAAGAAAGAAGGGACAATTGGTAAGTCCTTCAGTTTCCAGAGAGTCTATCAGAATCTAACGATATATCATCGAGGTTGTGTCATGAAATCTGAAAATAAGGACCAACCTCTTACAAACCCCTTTGTTTTATCCTTGTTAGCAGCAGGAGATGTATTTCGTAGTGGAAAAAACAGAACCTCAATTCAATCCACCGCTGATGCCACTAACCTTCTACATCTGAGATATTAAGTCTTCATCTAAGTCAGTATTGTATCTCCCAAGAAACTTAATCTGTACGGAAGTCATCATACTGTGGCCTAAATCTCCCAATCATAAGATGGGGAAAGACGACTACGCAAGCCATAAACAGGGTGAACTGCAGCCACATAAAACAGTTATTTAGGCAGACTTTACAGTTAAAATATTTTTGTGCAAGGAAATTTTTTGGGGAAAGGACTTTGGACTTGCAAACTATCGTAATCATAAAAAGTAGAAATCAAAGCTTCTGAGATGTACCAGAAGAGGAAGGGTCAAGAAGCCCCATATTGGCCACAAAGCAAATGAGAGCCTGTACATGACATTATTAGTTAAACCAGAAGAGTAGTCATATAACAAAATATAATAAACATAAAAAGAAAGAAATTGCATTGTGATCACACTTACAGGCAAAAGGCGATGAGGCCAAATAAGGTGACATATGGCAAAACAGATAAACTTGACAACTCCCACTTTTCGTCAAATCTTCTGATACTCCATGCTAACATACTCGTATAAAAGAGGATGATAGCATTCACTCCGATCACAAACATCCCAAGATAAAAAGGTGTTCTGCAAGATTAAAATGAGATCGACCATGCTAATTAATTACCATCCTATACCAGTGCAGAATAACTCCTAGATATACATTGAGAAAGTTCCTGCTCTTGTCTCTGCAAATGAAGGAATCCTCTATAGTGTTTAAATAAAATTTTTAAATAAAAATTTCCATATACTAAACTAGTTTCCATATGACTAGGTTACCAACAGAAAAAAGCAAAAGAGAGAAACTTTTCCGCTTCAGAAAATAGCAAAGGCTTAGCTAGAATGAGATCATCAACTGTGTTATAAAGCCATGGGGCTCAAGATTTATTATTATGAAATGAGAATAAACTCCAAATGAAGTGAGCGTGGTTCTGGCTAATTGAAACATCTACCCAATGCTTGAAAGGTTCAAAAGAACCAGAGAAGCATTAGGAGCATAAGCCTCTGCGCATGAGATAAAGATCCTCATAATCCTTCCATTCCCCCATAAGAAATGAAATATTTAAGTTAAGAGGGGGAAGAAATACTTCTATTCATAATATGGACAGGTGATAAATCTATTTGAAAAAGCTGAAGCCAAAACAGAAAAGGAACATCACTATAATCTACTTCCAGAGTTCGAAAGAGAGTTGACAAAGAAAAGAAGAACATCACAAAATCATAGTTGCAGAGTTCTAAAGGGGGTAGACGATGTCCTGTACCTAATAAATTGTATAATTCCAATGCTAGGCTGCAGTCAAGACCTACCACAGTCCACAATCTAATGAAAAATAAACCTCAATTATCCTGGAGGCTACTTTAATGGATTGAACTTCTCAGTATAAACTGAGTGACATAAGCAAAAATGGTCAGAGCATGAAGTCTCAATTTTCAGCTAGTAAACGAACCACTAGCAGGTAGATATTATCCCAAGTTGTGTTTCTACGAAGACAAGTAGAGTGCTGCATTTTAACAGCATTCTTACATTCAATTATCAAATGCCGTGAGTGATGTTGTTGGCTTATGGTTTACAGAAAATGTGATCCAGCATCCATGAATAACGATATTGTAGTATCTTCCCCAGTGTTAAATAGTTTAGTTTACTTACAATCAATTGATTCAACTTATTAGAATCTGCTATACAAAGCCTTGATACAATTTATTAGCAATACATAAATAGATCCTACGTGAAATTTGGCATCAAAGACATTAATATTTTATGCAACTAGCAATCGTGGTTTCACCATCACCCTCTCAGTTTAGGCAATTTCTTGGTTAAGACCAGCCAGGACAAAAGCAACATTACGTTATTAGTACCTGAACAAATTAACTTGACAAAGCCACGAACTTAATTGGACAGGGAAGTAACATACTAATTCAGTAATTTAGATCCATGTAGTAAAAACAAATAAAGAGATATTGAATCTATTGAGATCTTAATTCCCAATTAGATATCCCTTGATTGTTAAATGTGAACATATACAATGAATGTTCTACGTAAGAGAAATCAAAATATAACTCAAATGCCTTAAATGCTTCTCATCCAATTAGTACTTAAATTAAACAGATTGCACCATTTGGTTAAGTTGACGGATAACTGTTGCTTATTTAACATGCTTCTCCAATATGAAGTCAGAATTAGAAATTTTATCACAAACTAAATCAGCAGGAGATAAGTGTAGTCAGAAATCTATCTCACATTATCCCCTCTTTCCTAGATATCTAATACCCAATACATTCTCGCTTGAAAGAAAGGTTAGACACAGAAATAAAATCCATATTCATCTCTACTGTCTATAAAGATCAACAATCTTAATTTTTACGTGACTACGTGATTTGCATACAAAAGATTACTCCTTATAATTACAAATTACATTATAAGGTCATCTTGGAATCAACTGGATCGATGATGAGATATTGTATGCATCATTCTCAGTTAAGAAACTTCACCTGCTAACCTCTAAACCAAGTAATGAACTCTCTCTAACTCTAACACAAATACAATAATATCCGACACATAAATGATCTAATTTAGTAATCACCATCAAACATTAAATGTGTTATCAATGCTGTGAAACTACACAAACAAAAAAAGAATAAGCAAGTTGTTACCTTCTTATCCGCTCATCGTGCCACAACAGGTATATCAAGTTGGAGTGACGATCACCAAAATAGATAATGAATATGGCTGAAGCAATCCAAAGCACATTCTCCAAAACTTCAACCCACGTCTACTCCTAGAACTCACAGGTGAGAGAGGGTGAGACCTCGAGCATGCATCATCCTCGAGATCATCACCGCTGGAGGCATAACCTTGACTGTGCCTTTGCCTCATATACCCACCTCCACTTCTCGGAGTCCCACCTCCACCTCTTGGAGTCCCACCAGACATTTTCACACAAAGAATGATAACCCAACAACTAATAGTCTCCTGGTGCCAAAGCAATGAAACCCTCTCTAATTTCTAAAAACCTTCCCAATAAGATACAAAACTCTCTTCAATTTCTCAACTCAAAACGAAATTCAATTAAAAGAAAAAGAAAGAATCAAGTATAATTGTGTATACTTCTTTTGCCACTCCTTATAATCCCTATATAAACGAAAGCAAAAAAGCAATTCAACCACTCTAATCCATGCAGCACTATGGACTAAGATCAATAACCTTAATATGATTGTATACGGTCCATGGAAAAGAGTTTCCAAAACATGAACAGATCTTTCTCATCTTCAATTCCCACATAGGAGCAAACCCAGCTCTGAAACTTGATAATCAGAGAGAGAAATCGATGGGTGAACGTGAGAATTTCAAGTTTCAAAGCATACCCAATTTTCGCTCCCAAATGCACGGCACTCAAAAACCCAGAAACAGATTCAAATTCTGGTCCGTACCCACATGTTACATTGATTCGGTTTCACCGATTCCTGCCATGAATACGACGCAGAAACGGGAATTTAGAGAAGAATGCGAAAAAGAAAACGTAATAAAGGGTAGGGAACAAAGGGGGTTTAGGTATTTTCCGTGAGTGTGAGTGTTCGTGTGTTCGTGAGGATGACGGAATGGATCCGCCTAACCAAACGCTGATAAGCTGAATTCACTGTCTGTGTGTAGGTGACGTAACTCGAGCCGTGAAGCTTTTGAAAAATAATTATGTAAGGATGGAAACTTCCATAATAATTTTCTTTTCTCACTCGATTTTCTTCCTTTTGTGAAAAAATCCGATTCGTTTCTATTACTGTTTTCGTGTTCTGGAAATTTCATAAACCTGTTTTTCTTAAATTGATTTGATGTAACAAGGGAGAGTCAATGATAATCAATAAAACGTGATAAGAACAAAACGAAGATGAAAATTAGAGAGTCGTCTAATCAACGATTACCTTTTGAATTTAATTTTTTGATTAGGGAAA